GTGTAAATGTATCCGGTTCACTATCTAGCATAGTGAACCCTAGTCATATGCATAATCAGTGGCTCTGAAGCCATGTACTGATTCTACTACTAATTTAGGTTAGACAGTGTGTACCCACTTCGTAACCCTTCGGGTAACTCTCGTGTAACCCCGTTACAACTTCTTCAATACATGTAGCATTTTTGTGCCTTTTAGCATAATCGGCTAGTCTTGAGCACATTTTAGAAATTGCCCACGGCTGCTCAAATTCAAGCTTCGTTGGCAAGGACTACAGTCAGCATCCGTTTTCAGCGAAGCGAGACAAATGTACGTGTAGAACTCGTCACGAAGCCTGCTTAGGTGATGAAATGAGAACACTCAGCGGGAGAGGTGGCGAGTCTGCTGGAAGTTTTGAGCCGAGTGTATTGTTGTTGGTGCCGTACGAGGCAAGATAAAGAGTCGGTATGTGCCCTACGAGGCAAATTGAAGGCTCTCTAGAATGTATAGACTATTATTTTGTACTGGCCATAATAGTTGAAGCCGGAGTTCGGAGTCATTTTTCTCCCAGAAGATGGTAACTTTCCATATACGATAGTTAGATACAAGGGGTAATTTTCGCCGTAGATTCCGATTCTGCTGTCAGATTTGACGAATTCGGACTCTTTGTACGGGTAATTAAGCCTTGAAAACATGACCTCAATTGCTCAAAAGTTTGGGGATAGGGCTCAAGTAGGGTAAGCCAATGACAAACCCAAGAACATGCACACTATTGGCTTAAACGGTAAAGCATACGCCAAAACAGACGGTGGTTAGGTGAATTGACTGCTCTTGTTCACATTCGCCCTGAGATTGCCAACTTGCGCTTTGTAACATACCGTCGTGTTTGCATAGGATTTGTATTTGATTTGACAATCATGGATAGACTCTTTTTATCTTGCTGTGTTTCGGTAGTCGCTATTTCGGGAGAAAATACAAGTTTAAACAGGTAATTGATATGTACCGTTAAGTATCCGAAGGATGCCTCGGCGACGACTTCGAGGAAGTTTGCTGGACTTGGTACGCGCTCCTGACGCGAAACGCCCTGCTCACATCGGGCCTAATACACTTCACTACCACTTCGCGCGCTTACCGCATCGTCTTAGGCTTTCCTTTCACTGTTAGGCTCGAAGATTCATTCATAGTGATTATGGCAACTCCCTCATCGGCATTTACTTTCAGGCCAATATCCATTCGTTAGGCCCTGGTGCCTTGCGCTACACTCTTGTTGTGCGTAGTTGAGATAACAGCTCTTCTTTGGAGGGTCTTTTGAGGTCCCTGGGCCTAAAAATAGCTAAGCTATCGGTGCGAGCATCCGCGTGTTATAATCTCCGGCTTCAACTATTTTGGCCAGTACCATAGGGGCTCCACGGCGGTGTTCCTGTGCTGTGCGCGGCGTAATCCAATCCACGTTGAAGGAAGCCTCAAATCGAGGTGGGTGGTGTAAGCTGGCTTGAACCAATAATCGACTAGACCTGTACAGCATGGGCAGGACTTACGTACACAGTCTATTTTCGGTGATATCTTGGAGTTTGTATAGGCAGCCCATCACCCCACAATGTGACGACCTTCCCGCAGGACGGATGTCATCCGCGGGAAATGGCTTTGCTCCGCTGCGCTCCGCAAAAGCAGTCGCTGCGCTCCTGCGATAAAAAGATTATCTCACCTGGCGAGAACAGTGCTCGGCTCGCTGGAATGCTCGTTGCTGGGCCCGCCTCCGCAAATACCGCACGGCCCTGCTACGCGGGCACCCCGCGCGGGTTTGCTGTGGCTACGCTCCTCGCAACCGCGAGCCTCCGTTGGTCCTCTTCTATATCACGTTCACCCCCCCCTCCCCCCTCGACCCCCATAAAAAAAACTGTGTACGTAAGCACTCCCGTACAGCATGGTGAGACCATACCTTGCTCATGTTCGTCGCGACGACCTTGCCGCGGTGGATACATGTACTGTCGTAATGATAAGAAGCACGTCAAATGTACCCCCTATGAGTGCTGTAGCTTCACTGTACTCGATACACGTAAAAACCACAGTGTGGTTCCCTTAGGTCCTTGTTCAGGTGCCAGTACACGTTCTTAGTGTTTCCCGGGCTAGGGTGTCTAGTTTGGGCCAAGCATTTTCAGGACGTGTGCTACGGCTTGTCCAAGTGGGTTCTGTAGTGTTTAGTGTGCTGGCCACCCGTTCATTTTGTTTTCGCACGAGATGAAAGCACAACGTCGCCGCAATGCCACATAATTTCCCTATGCTATCGACGAGATGGTAGCATGCGAATAAGTGCGCAATGGCCTCAATGACATTATTAGTTCAAAGCGCTGTTCTAGATACCTGTCGTCTCCTGGACTAACGCCGCAATAGCGAGATTCGGGCGCCTTGGAGATGGTAATCCACCGCTCCCGCAGCACACGTATCCTGCCAAGCATTGATTGGCCAGGGCAGAAGGAAATCGCCTCGTCCTTGCTCATTGATTCCTAGCACAAATGGGGAGTTATTACGGCAACTCTGCTACAACTCGAAGATATCTCGTTGGGAGCAACACGGTAATTTATCGCAGCTTATCTTTCGTGAAAATTGTCAATAGCTGAAAACATGATTTTTGTGATATCTTTACTTCCGTTTAGGTACGACGTGCCGTAGCCTCCCATTTTGTTTTACGTCAACGGGGAGAACGCGAAGCAGCAGCAGCACCATCGCGTCGGGGATGGCGACGCACGGAGCGCAAGGGGAGGCGTCTGAAGAACAAGGTGCGACACAGAAGCTTACGAGCATCCATATCAGTTGCTAACAAGTTGTGCTGTAGGGCGCCGCGCGCACGGAGAGCAAGGGGGGCCCGGAGAACAAGGTGCGACACAAAAGCTTACGTCTACCCATATCATTTGCTAACAAGTTTTGTTGCAGGGCGTCGCACTACGTAAGACCGTTGACTACGTCCAAGCGGCCCACGGCTACACGAAAGACGACGAGGGCGACGAAGACTATGTCGAGGAGGAGGTGATTCCGGACGAAGAGGAAGAGATCAGTGTGGAGGAAGTGGAGAAGGACGACGAGGAGGCGAAGGGCACGGAGGTGGACGACGACGACGAGGGTACGGAGAACTCGGAGGTGGACGACGACGAGGAGGGTACGGACATCTCGGAGGAGGAGGGCGACGAGGAGGCGAAGAACTTGGAGGAGGAGGACGGCGAGAAGGCGAAGAACTCGGAGGAGGAGACGACGAGGACGCGAACGAAGTGGTGGCGAAGGACACGGAGGAGGAGAGCGTGGAGGACGAGGAGGAGGTGGAGGACGACGAGGAGGCGAAGGCCATGGGGGACGTGGAGAACGACGAGGAGGCGAAGACCATGGGGGGCGTGGAGGACGACGAGGAGGCGAAAGGCGAAGAGATGGCGGGCAACAGCGCCATGTCCGCCGTCGAACATGCGGTCGGTCCGAACGAGAAACAAGTGGACGATGATGACTTGTTCGGTGATGATGGCGATGACGACACCACCGCCACGCACGTGATGGCCAAGTCGGACGGTGGCATGGCTGCTGCCGTCATCGACGATGATGACTTGTTCGGCAGTGAGGACGATGAAGAGACGGTGAACGACGTGGTGGACAAGGACTCCGTGGCGGAGGACAACGACAAAAGCGCTGGCAGCAAGCGGCAAGTGACGGGTATGTTGTACTATGTGTTGTTTGCAATGTTGAGCGTTATTGTTGTACCAATGTCTATTGGTGTTGCGTTGGTGTATTATTGAGATAGGTTTCGAAGAATCTATCCAGCAATTTGTACGCGCGGCCCGGGAAGAAGCCGAAGCTGAAGCCGCTGTCCAAGCGTCGAGTGCCCGTCGTGAAGCAGCCGCTGCTTCTTCCACGACGGCTAGGAAGAAAGCTACAGCACGAAAGCGCAAGCCGTTCCCGGGTCGAAGTGGAGTTGGTGCTTCACCTCCCAAACGTGGGAAAGGTGGGAGGAAGGAAAAGGCGCAGGCTGTTGTCACGTCAGCAAGTGACCAGCCGCCACCACGTCATTGTGAGCGCCGCCGCACTAAAACGTGGGAGGAGCGGGAGAAGATAGTCAAGGCGCACAACGCAGTCGACAATTTGAAGCCACCTCTTGCCAAGAATTCCTTGGCCAATTGGGGCGAGTTCGAGGCAGCGCTCAATGCCTGTCAAGACGCGAACTTGGTGCTCTACCGCGTTCGGAGCTCGCAATCGAAAACGAGCCACGACGGGTACGGGTTATGTTGCTGTTACAGTATGGTACTTCTATTTATATAAATGGTGCTTCTTATGTTGTTAACTGTGTTGTTAGGTCTACACGGGGTCCAAAAGCTCCCCGATCACTTCACCCACAAGTTCAAGAAGATGTGGTGCACTCACGGCGCTAAACAATCTTCGCGAGGTGAAGGCCTACGGGAGAGTGGCCAGCGGTACACAGGCTGCGAGGCAAGCTTCACTGTGCGCTCTGTCAAGTATGTTGAGGAATGTGTGGCAAAGTGGAAGGTCCAGAGACGGAGGTATTGTTCGTATCTATATTTTTTCGAGGGATTAGATGCTAACTTGTACAACTATGCACCTTGCAGATCTACATGCACAACCACAGGACCACCAAGACCATCTACGAGTCCTACATTCGCGGCAAATCCCTGCCGCTACCAGCAGCCGTTCCCAAGGACCTCGGTCTCATGGCCGAGGTGCAAACCAGTACGCCGGCGATCAACCGGTACCTCTCGGACAAGCTTGGTGGGTGTTCCTGGCGAACGCTCTACTTCTGGAGTTGTTGATCTGTTGTTTTTTCTAGCTGTTTAATTTGAATGGGTATTAACGTCCTTGTATTTCGATTGATTAATATCTACAGGTATGATCATCACCCCCCAGCAAACGAGAAACATACTGCAACAAGTACTAGGGTCTACGACTCTCGAACGGACCCGATTGCTGCTTGATACGTTTGTTCTTGTCGATGATCATGACGTTCTGCTGGTGCATGATCAGATGGACATCACTGCGTCATTGCGATGCAAACTGCAGTGCAGAAGGCGTGCTTCAAGCAATGGGGCGACAGTTTAGTCATGGATTGGACGCACGGGACTAACAACTTAGGCTACCATCTTGGTTTGTATTCTCTCCTATTATTTCCTATGTATAAACTAACTCGCATACTAATGAGATGTTATTGCCTGTCGATCATTTGCTGAACATACAGGAAGTCTTGTAGTGACGTCAGCAACTGGAAGAGGCATTCCTGTGGTTGACTTTCTGGCGCTCGACCAGAAGGACGGGACCATGGAACGCATTTTGGAGTTCTTCAAGCGTCACAATCCGTCATGGACCTCAATTGAGACGTTCTCGATTGATAAGGATTTCGTGGAGTGGTGAGTACTGGAGAGAGTGTTTCCTGACGCCAAGGTTCTTTCGTGCCAATTTCACGCCCTTACGGACTGGAGGAAGGTTTGTAAACGGCCGAAGTACAACCTGACGGTGTCTCAACGCGAGCGGATGGAGCATGCATTCGGAAAGCTCATCTACTGGTACGAGGGGATTGAATGTTCAATGTTATTTGCCATGTTTTACTCAATGTTGTTCTATGTTATTGTGTTGTTGACTGTGTTGCTCATTGGGTTGCTCTATATGTCGTTTACCATCAGCAACACAGAGAAGTTTCAATTTAGAGCTGGAATCGTTTACGAAGGTCTGTGAGAAGGAATGTCCAGCCCTTCTGGAATATTTCACGGCAAACTGGAACTCGATGTGGGCTAACTATATCCGGGGAAGTGGCAACACTACAACCAACAGGATTGAATCAAATTGGAACCAAGTGAAGCTGCTTCTCGGCAAACGACCTCGTCTGGATGCGACTATTAGCGGTCTGTTAGCGCACCAGGGGACTATTGTTCGCCAAGTGCTCGCGACGATGAGGAAGCACGTGTCAACATCGCGACACCCAGGCGCAATTCCTGACTTCTTGACACGCGTTTCAGCGCGTCTTAGCGACTAACCGTTGTCTAAAGTGCGCTCTCAATGGGACCGCTTCATGGTGTACCTGGCGGACACTAAGTGCACGAAGCTGGACGCTGTGGGCGAGTGGGAACTCAGTACTCGGAGGAATACCTACGTATGCAACGACTATGAGTGGACGTGCACATGCCTATTCTATTGTAGTCATCACCTGCCATGCCAGCATTTGATGTTCATCGCGGATCGTGTTCATCGGTTCGAGTATCTACCTGAGTCGACTGTCCCGCAGCGCTGGGATATGGTCGCAATGTCCGAGCTGGAGAAAGAGCTTCGAGATGGTGTCGGAGCGCTACAAGCCGTTCAAGCGTCAATGAAAGAAGCTGGAGATTCCTGGGCGCATGACGGTCTGACCCAAAACGACGTCTTCCTGGATGAGTCCGAAGCAACACAAGGTGCAACAGACGCAACACAAAGTGCAACACAGCCACCACCCCAACATGAACATGATGTAGAAGCCGCAGAGAAGATCGGGCGCCGCCGTCGAAAGCAACGTGGTGTTATTTATGTCAAGATGCGTGGACGAGAACGTGCCAACGTTGTGGTTCTCTCATCAGAAGAGAAATATTGCTATGCTAAAGCTGTGTTCGAGCCTGTGATGGAGCACCTAGCAGGATTGGCAACCCCAGCTTTCGTCGCAGCCTTGAAGTCCTGGAAGGACATTGTTCGAAGCGGGTTGGAGACCGTTGAGGAAGATTCTACTACCAGTCCTGACGAAAGCGAGGAATCCGACGATCCAGACACGTCTGACACCGCATCCGACATCACGCCGGCTGATTTAATTGACAGCATGAACTTCATCCAGGAGTTGGAGCTAGATAAAGCGGGGTCCGACAGCACGGCTTCAGCCTCTAAGCGAGAGGCTACAGTAGAAAACAATGAAGCAACATTGGCGGCAACATCGAGCAAGACTAGTGGGGCAATGCTAACTAAGTCGGCGTCAATGCCCAAGGCTGCCCCTCCGCTCCTACCCAAAGCAACGTCGCCCTCTACGCCGAAGCTGTACCCAACCAAAGCGGTGTTATCCTCGAAGAAAAAGTGCTATCCTACCAAAGCTGCCGTACGTGTTAAAACGGCAGCAAAAGTTGCAAGTAAGGGAGGGATCCTGGAGGTGCTACGTATTCCCAAGAAACCTAAGGTGCGCCACACTACCCGAACCAAACTGAAGCAAACCAAGCTGGTCAAGGGGGCGAAACCTCAAAAGCTTGCTGCAATTGTCCTCCCAGACAAGAATGTGCCGTCGCTGTCGCGTGTTTTAGAGTGGGCAAACAACACTACTGACCGCAACCATGTCAGCGGAATCCTAGCAAACTACCCAACCATCATGGACGACGACTTCATGAACTCGCGTGTCGCTCACAGCAAGCGCGATCACGTCTACGCTGACGACTACGACTACAACTTTGTGATTCCAAAGAATCTCGTCGTCAAGTTGGAAGCCGGGGTCAAAGCGGAGAAGAAGAAGCGATCAAAGTCCAAGTACTTCAACCAAACCGGGGACGACAATCATCCAAAGGGCACTACCGAGGAGATCATCGCCTACTTCCCCGGAGGAACCCCGCAGTTCACCAGGTTTGTAGTCACCAAGTTGTTCATTATGCTGTACTATGCGGTGCTCACAATGTTGCTTGTTATGTTGTTATGCTTTGTGTTGATGTTTGGTACTGCTCAGCGCCGCAGTGTACAGGATGAGCGAGTTTTACAACGTCGTCCGCAAGCTTGATGCGTGGAAGGAGGATGTGCATTGGCTATTGTCGACTAAATGAGACGCAATGGCGGATAATCCTGAGCTTTTCGACGTGGAAACGGACTCGGACGAGCTCACAGATGACACCACAGGGGCCAAGCACGTGGCCCTGGCAAACGAAGTGTTGGAGCAGCTTGAAGGAGCTTCTCCGAGCTCCACATTCCGATTGGCAAGCGGCGCAGGCACTGTAAAGCTGGACAGATTGGTTGGGATGCTTGCTCGCAAGGAGATGCTGTCTGATACGATCATTGATTTCGCTGTCAGATGTATCTGTGACGCCCTCGGAGATTGCTACGCGTTGGATACGTATGCAGCTACGTTTTGCTGTCCTGACCCGCCCCAGACCCGCATTTCGAACATGCACTATGTTGTTTTGCCAGTTTATCTGAGCAACATACACTGGGGTGTCATCATTGTCAGTATCAGTACCAGGCTGAACCACCGTCAATCACACCCTACTTCTACGAGCCTCTGTGTGATCCGCAATATCGAGCGACTATCGAAGATACCTACGAAGAGACGGTAGCGCCATTTCTGCTGGGCTGGCACGAGAAGACACTGATTGGAGTGGATTATTATGTTGTGGAGAATGGTGTGTGGCTGGATGCGCCGAGACAGCCCGATGGAACGACGTGGAAACGGACTCGGACGAGCTCACAGATGACACCACAGGGGCCAAGCACGTGGCCCTGGCAAACGAAGTGTTGGAGCAGCTTGAAGGAGCTTCTCCGAGCTCCACATTCCGATTGGCAAGCGGCGCAGGCACTGTAAAGCTGGACAGATTGGTTGGGATGCTTGCTCGCAAGGAGATGCTGTCTGATACGATCATTGATTTCGCTGTCAGATGTATCTGTGACGCCCTCGGAGATTGCTACGCGTTGGATACGTATGCAGCTACGTTTTGCTGTCCTGACCCGCCCCAGACCCGCATTTCGAACATGCATTATGTTGTTTTGCCATTTTATCTGAGCAACATACACTGGGGTGTCATCATTGTCAGTATCAGTACCAGGCTGAACCACCGTCAATCACACCCTACTTCTACGAGCCTCTGTGTGATCCGCAATATCGAGCGACTATCGAAGATACCTACGAAGAGACGGTAGCGCCATTTCTGCTGGGCTGGCACGAGAAGACACTGATTGGAGTGGATTATTATGTTGTGGAGAATGGTGTGTGGCTGGATGCGCCGAGACAGCCCGATGGAACGACGTGGAAACGGACTCGGACGAGCTCACAGATGGCACCACAGGGGCCAAGCACGTGGCCCCGGCAAACGAAGTGTTGGAGCAGCTTGAAGGAGCTTCTCCGAGCTCCACATTCCGATTGGCAAGCGGCGCAGGCACTGTAAAGCTGGACAGATTGGTTGGGATGCTTGCTCGCAAGGAGATGCTGTCTGATACGATCATTGATTTCGCTGTCAGATGTATCTGTGACGCCCTCGGAGATTGCTACGCGTTGGATACGTATGCAGCTACGTTTTGCTGTCCTGACCCGCCCCAGACCCGCATTTCGAACATGCATTATGTTGTTTTGCCAGTTTATCTGAGCAACATACACTGGGGTGTCATCATTGTCAGTATCAGTACCAGGCTGAACCACCGTCAATCACACCCTACTTCTACGAGCCTCTGTGTGATCCGCAATATCGAGCGACTATCGAAGATACCTACGAAGAGACGGTAGCGCCATTTCTGCTGGGCTGGCACGAGAAGACACTGATTGGAGTGGATTATTATGTTGTGGAGAATGGTGTGTGGCTGGATGCGCCGAGACAGCCCGATGGAACGACGTGGAAACGGACTCGGACGAGCTCACAGATGACACCACAGGGGCCAAGCACGTGGCCCTGGCAAACGAAGTGTTGGAGCAGCTTGAAGGAGCTTCTCCGAGCTCCACATTCCGATTGGCAAGCGGCGCAGGCACTGTAAAGCTGGACAGATTGGTTGGGATGCTTGCTCGCAAGGAGATGCTGTCTGATACGATCATTGATTTCGCTGTCAGATGTATCTGTGACGCCCTCGGAGATTGCTACGCGTTGGATACGTATGCAGCTACGTTTTGCTGTCCTGACCCGCCCCAGACCCGCATTTCGAACATGCATTATGTTGTATTGCCAGTTTATCTGAGCAACATACACTGGGGTGTCATCATTGTCAGTATCAGTACCAGGCTGAACCACCGTCAATCACACCCTACTTCTACGAGCCTCTGTGTGATCCGCAATATCGAGCGACTATCGAAGATACCTACGAAGAGACGGTAGCGCCATTTCTGCTGGGCTGGCACGAGAAGACACTGATTGGAGTGGATTATTATGTTGTGGAGAATGGTGTGTGGCTGGATGCGCCGAGACAGCCCGATGGAACGACGTGGAAACGGACTCGGACGAGCTCACAGATGACACCACAGGGGCCAAGCACGTGGCCCTGGCAAACGAAGTGTTGGAGCAGCTTGAAGGAGCTTCTCCGAGCTCCACATTCCGATTGGCAAGCGGCGCAGGCACTGTAAAGCTGGACAGATTGGTTGGGATGCTTGCTCGCAAGGAGATGCTGTCTGATACGATCATTGATTTCGCTGTCAGATGTATCTGTGACGCCCTCGGAGATTGCTACGCGTTGGATACGTATGCAGCTACGTTTTGCTGTCCTGACCCGCCCCAGACCCGCATTTCGAACATGCATTATGTTGTTTTGCCAGTTTATCTGAGCAACATACACTGGGGTGTCATCATTGTCAGTATCAGTACCAGGCTGAACCACCGTCAATCACACCCTACTTCTACGAGCCTCTGTGTGATCCGCAATATCGAGCGACTATCGAAGATACCTACGAAGAGACGGTAGCGCCATTTCTGCTGGGCTGGCACGAGAAGACACTGATTGGAGTGGATTATTATGTTGTGGAGAATGGTGTGTGGCTGGATGCGCCGAGACAGCCCGATGGAACGACGTGGAAACGGACTCGGACGAGCTCACAGATGACACCACAGGGGCCAAGCACGTGGCCCTGGCAAACGAAGTGTTGGAGCAGCTTGAAGGAGCTTCTCCGAGCTCCACATTCCGATTGGCAAGCGGCGCAGGCACTGTAAAGCTGGACAGATTGGTTGGGATGCTTGCTCGCAAGGAGATGCTGTCTGATACGATCATTGATTTCGCTGTCAGATGTATCTGTGACGCCCTCGGAGATTGCTACGCGTTGGATACGTATGCAGCTACGTTTTGCTGTCCTGACCCGCCCCAGACCCGCATTTCGAACATGCATTATGTTGTTTTGCCAGTTTATCTGAGCAACAGTCATCATTGTCAGTATCAGTACCAGGCTGAACCACCGTCAATCACACCCTACTTCTACGAGCCTCTGTGTGATCCGCAATATCGAGCGACTATCGAAGATACCTACGAAGAGACGGTAGCGCCATTTCTGCTGGGCTGGCACGAGAAGACACTGATTGGAGTGGATTATTATGTTGTGGAGAATGGTGTGTGGCTGGATGC